TGGGCCTGCTCGGGTTATAGGGGCTGTGTGGGGCAGAATTGACCCCACACACTTTCCTTTCCTTTATGGTGTCAGGGAGGCTTTATTTCTCCCTCCAGGGAGGATGGGAGAGAGGGGAGACATGCAGAAAGTTCTGGTGTTGCAGTGAGTCCTGCTGCTCCAGTGGGGAAGACTGGACCTGGGGCCCAGGTCTCGTCCCTGTGGGAACAGCCACATGTCCCCTTACAGCATGGCCTGTTCCCTGCCCTGGTGCCCTGGCTTCAAGTAACAATTCCAGATGGGAGAGTATGTGTGGTGCTCTGCGGTGCTGACAGCTGGTCTCAGTCCTGTTCCTTTTCCTGTCTCCAGAGCTCCCAACAGCTGGAGCGTGCAGCGTGGCTGGCCCCAGCACCATGCCGCTGGAACTCTGGGCTGCCTATGAACATTGGAGTGCTCTTTGTGCCGCAGCAAGAGGCCTGGGTGGTGGAGAGGATGGGCAAGTTCCACCGAATCCTCGAGCCTGTAAGGAGCAGCTTTTCTCCCCTTCTGGATTCAGCAGGTTTCTGAAGCTCTAGTGAGGCGCGTCCTTTGTACGAGGGTCCGAGGGGTGATGGGATTATTCTTCCAGACTGCAATATGTTTGACTGCCTGTAGATTAATTTCCCTTGGTGGGGTGTTAAAAACACTAAGAAGCCTAAATCCCCACTGTGTGTATAGTGTGTTTGCCTGCAGCATGTGCAGCGTGTGGCATGGGCTTTGTTTGCATGACTCTCTCTAGTCTGACTGTCAGCCTGCTTGCTAATCCTGTCCTTTTCCCAGGGTTTGAACTTCCTCATCCCTCTCCTGGATCGGATTCGTTACGTGCAGAGTCTCAAAGAAATCGTCATTAACGTCCCAGAGCAGTCAGCTGTCACACTGGGTGAGGAATAGCTTCCGTGTCCTACCCCTTCCGCTGCATCTGGGGTGAGCAAGGGACAGTGTGGGGATGAGTGGAATTGTCCCAGGCTCCTGCACTCAGCCCCATCCCTGGGGACCCAGGCTTGGCAATAAAATCACAGAGTGGTTTGGGTTGGAAGGAACCTTAAAGCTCATCTTGTTTCAACCCCCCTGCTGTGGGCAGAGACACCTTTCACTAGATTATGTTGCTACAAGCCCCATCCAACCTGGCCTTGAATAGTTCCAGGGATGGAGCAGCCACAGCATCTCTGGACAACCTGTGCCAGTGCCTCAGCACCATCACAGTAAAGAATTTTTTTGCCCAAGGCCATTCCCCCTTGTCCTGTCACTCCATGCCCATGTCTAAAGTCTCTCTCCAGCTCTCCTGTAGCCCCGTTAGGTGCTGGAAGGCTGATCCTATAAGCAGGGGCTCCCCAGAATGTCAGGGAGCTCTCTCAGGGTTGCAGCTGCCCCTTCTTGCTGGGTCGAATGTGCCTGGCCAGGAACCCTTTTCTCAGATGTATTCCTTTATTGAACCACAGAAACATAAATCTCTGTTTTGT